AAAAGAGCAATAATTTTAAACTGCTGGAAAATGTTGATGTCAATTTTTTTTTGGATATTCTAAAACACTAATAAAGTTAAAGTAACCCTTAATGGTCAGTGAAGCAGAGTTCTTATTTTTCTATGGTTACTACTATATAAAATAATTCTATAGACATTTTATGACATTTCAAGAATCTACCCCTTTATGTTATGGCTTATTTAGTATATGCATGATTTCTAAGTTTCAAAGTTACTGTGTAGGTCTGGTTCTCTTAAAATTTTTTAATTAAGTTAATTACATTTGTTTAATTTTAATGCCATAAACAGTGTTTCCTTCCAGACTTTTTTCTCCAGGGGGCACTCAAAATTTTTGGGTGGGAGTGTTTTGCGTTCACTGGTAAAAGTATATATTTTCTATATAAATTCTATTTCATTTGGTGAAGGTGGGGGTGTAGATGTTTTTTCGTCTCCCCTCCCCCCCCTCTAAAGAGAAGCATGAAAGAAACTCTAGCCATAAAACATATAAATGGTATGTTAGTTTACCCTTTAACATAATAAAACTTGAACTGTATGTCAACTTCACTCCAAAGTAAAGAAGTAAAATACTGGATTGAGAAAAAATTGCTGCAGGAAAGTAAATTAGTGCTGATGGTTTTTTAATCTTTCTTCTGTTTCTGCCAAGTTGGGCTTGATTATTTGCTCTATCTGGTTCAGGATTATTCGCAGCATCATTTCTATTGCCACCTGCCAGGTTGGGCTGTGCATTTTGGTTTTCTGCAGCAAGGGCAAGCGGATTGTTTCCTGTAATGTTTGGATTAAACAAAATAAATAAAAGCGCTTAGTTGTTATATTTATACTAATTAATTTTACTTAATAAATAAATAACAGTGTTCAGTTGTTATTTTTATACTAAATGATTTTAATATAAGTAAAATTGTACATTAGTTATGTAAAATTTTTTTAGTTTTGTGTTCTTCCTAGATCTATCATTTAACTACTTAAAATATAGCAAAATGGAAATAAAGGTGAGGATCAATGACACTCAATAACACTGGATGAGGAAGGGATATCAGGTCATAAGCACCTCCATGATTTTAGAAGATAGAGTCAATCTTCAGTTACTACCATTGAAAACATGGACTAGCCTAATTACATTATTTATTATATGTTATAAAGGATCATCAATTAGTGACATGCTATTTTGGTCTCAGTCTTATTGAACAAATGACATCCCTCAGTTTATTCTCCCACTGTAATTGTCACAAAAATTAATGAACATTCCCCGTCATTTTTATACAAAATAAATGCTGTCACATTCTTTATCCCCTGTTTTCTATGTCACACATGGTGACATACTGTCAATTCAAGGTGTGTGACACCTTTATGCTTTTATGTACAACCCCTCAGTCCTAAATAATTATTAAGGTTTGTTAAATCCCAGTTGATTGCTGAAGAAATTTCTTATAGTTATAGCTGCCACATATCTATTTTTAGTTGACAAACTCAAGGTCTACTTAAAAAAGTATTAGTATTCCAATCAATAAAAAATAGCTCTTATTTTATTTTTTGTGTTTTTTTGTTTCAGTGCATGGATAATTTTCACCCATATGTGGGTCTGTTGATTATTTCTTTACTATTACATTTTCTCTCTCTCAAATCTCACACACCAAATTTAAATTATTTCTCATTTACTCTGTGGTTGTTCTTGGCCATGCATGAGTCTCCCAAATCCAAATATATTTCTCTCTATGAGTATCCACAAAGGTAAAAGCAAACATTGTACAAACTGTTTGAAAAACCACTGAAAACAAAAAATCAATAGAAATAAAACTCAGATGATACAAATAATAAACATGGGGTGGCATTTTAGAGTGGGATAAGCACTAAATTGATAACCCAAAACACATGAGTTTGATTCCCAGGCAATGCCGCTAAAATTTCTGGAAAAGTAACTGAGGCTGTGGATAGATGAACTCTACAAATTTCCTATACTATTGACCACAACGTCTAATTTTTAAAAAAACTACGGTTCTTTACTTTTCACATCTAGTAATGACACAGAATATCACTAAGCAAACACCTTTATATTTGAAATCCATTAAGAATTTAAAATAATCAGAATGTTAATGAAACAGAAATGTAAATACATTAATGTTTTTGTATACATCACATAGGTTATCTGTGATTAATTTTCAAATTTGCTTAGATCAAAATAAAATACACATTAAAAACAAATAGAAAGAACACAGTTACCAATAGAAACAGATGATCAAAGATATGAGCTTTGCTTGTATAGGATCCTTGTACTGTTAGTGTGCTTGGCCACCTTTACAAACAAATACAGTTGAAAAAATAACAAAATTAATGTTATGCCTACTTGACAATTCACCATAACCACATTTTATATTGCAAGTAGTTTAAACATATCAAATTTAAACTGAACCCTATAAATAACAAAATAACCATACACATATTATAACACAGAGAGGGGGGTGGTTTATCATATTACCCTGGGGTAGGGGTGGTATAGACAGTGGTGTCACTAGGTATGGATGTTACCTGGTACCATAATTTAGGGTTTTACCCCCCCCCCCCCCCCAACAATTTTGCATTTTCACTTTGATGTCAACCCTCTACCACTACTATTTTGTTATCTTAACTGGATTAAACATTGTTTTGGCAATAAATTTTATGATGTTTCATCACGGTGTCAACCACTAAACAGTGTCACACGTTTTAGACGGGAACCACCCTACCCCCACCATGAGAAACCACTGTATATCTAGATTATATCCTGAAAGATTGCATTTGAATATTCAAATAAATAAATATATATGTATAATTATGTATATATATATATATATATATATATATATATATTATTAAATAATTACCAATTCGATTAGTAATTATGACTGCTAGAGTATCAAATTCAAACAAATGTAGTGGGCCTATAAATTATTGATTTATATAATATATAGGTCTAAAGCCTAGGCTTAGGCAATATTTAATAAAACTATATTTAATTTATATTAAGATGATTTTTAAAATTAAGATTGATTAAGAAGATGTTTCATGGTTTTCTAACTAAAGCATAAATAGCGAGAATTATGAGAATAACACAAGCACAGTGTAATTTTATTATTGTTCAAACAAAGAGCACTTTCAAAGTGTTTAAGCAAACTTAATGTTAAGTAATATGCCTATAAAATTATTTTCTAAAAATATTAATTCTTATTTTATTTCACAAAGTCAAATTCTCAAAGCACCGTTACTAGACAACTTTGTCACTGGCCACATTGCATGATTTGCCAGTCTGTCCTTCGGTACAAGTTATGTGTGTGTGTGTGTGCGTGTATGTGCTCCTGACTATCTAGACAGATCATTTATATTTTTGTGTAAGCCTACCTGTCACAAAGCGCGAGTAAAAGTCCAGCAGCTACAAATACAATGCCTCGTTTAATAGTGGCTGACATTCTTGAATCGCTCAGACCTAGATCTACTAACTAAACTTATCGCTTCGATTTATGTTAGGTTTTTTTTTGGGAATTACCTTGTTCCAAGTATAGGAATTTACTTCCTTGTTATAGTTACTTCGGGTGGCAAATAGGCCCTAGTATTGTAAGGCCTAGTTGTATAAAATTAAAAATAACTGAAACCAAGTAACTTAAAAAAAAATTCCCCTATCCGGAACAAAATGTCTGAAAGAAACCCTGGACAAAGTAGGCCTGTTAGTATAAGTCTGTCCTTAAATAAATTAAATTAGTTAAAAAGAAATTAAGTAAATATTAATATTTTAACATGGTTCATACTCATTTATCCTCCACCCTATCTACATACATAGATCACACGTATCAATTCACAAAAACGGACTGCCGAATTTGTCGCATCACCACTCCTCCTGGGGATTCCCCCTTGGGTTGTCCCAGGCGCCACTTGATCTTTACAAAGATGGGACAGCATCTTTTCAGCCTACTGCAGGAGATCCATTTTCGATCTCTATTCGGTATAATATAATTCCTTCTTCCTGATACTTAGCCTACTTTAGCAAGAGGCAGGTATATATATATATATATATATATATATATATATATATATATATATATATATATATATATATATATATATATATAGGCTATATATATATATATATATATATATATATATATATATATATATATATATATATATATATATATATATATATATATATATATATATATATATACAGTCCCTTTGCTACAAACGATCTGCATGAATGCTCGCTTTGACTTTGAAGGCGGCTAGATCTGTCGTCATTTATTTATTTGATATCAATCAGCAGGGCCAAAATTTAGGCTCGATAAGGCCCTTGGTTATTTTTTATATGGGGCCCATTATACGTCCTGATATTATATTTGCATTTTTAAACGTTTGCCGACACACGAATATGTTTGTAACAGTAGTGTAAAGAAAAGTTGACCTCTATCATGGTTTGAAAAAAAATAATTATAAATGAATATTAAAAAATTAATTTGGCGACAAATTGCCCATTACTGTTTAAAAAAAAAATATTTGGAAGAGGGGAGGGACAGAAAACGGGTTTAAGAAAACTGTTTTAATAAATTGTAATAGAAATTGATTAAAATACTAGATCTATATGTTGACAGCGTTCAGGCAAGATTTTGGAAATATATGGACGTTTTAAGAAAAATTAAACTGCAATAAACTGCAATTTGGGGGGGGGGGGGAGGCTTAGGTGTGACGACATTTTATGGGGCGGGGGGGGGGGGGGGGGGGTCTGGCTTTTTGTGACGATGTGTGACGGACGGAGGGGGAGCTAGTAAAAAGCGTCAAAAATGCGCGACTTCATTTATGGATGACCGGCTTTGTATTTGCATGCGGTGTCGATAAAAAATTTGACGAGTGGGTGATAAAGTGTGATGACACGCTTTCGAATTTTAAAATGTTACTTTTAGACACAGAATTTCAGCTTCGCGTTTTTAAAAATGTGTTTGTAAATTAAAAATTGGACTAGATCTAGATCTAGATCTAGATTAATATAGTCTACTCAAGTAATTGATGATTAGAAAAAAATAAACCGGGAGTGATCTCCCCTAAACTTTCTCGAATATTCTTATACGAGAAAAATGGCCCGTTGAGGAAGGATACAACGGGCGCTAGGCTGATAGTGCTGTCTCTTTTCTCTAAACTAAAACCACCCCCCCCCCCCCACACACCCCCCCACCCACCCCACACCCCCACACACACCACCCCCCCCACCCACACACACACCACCCCCACCCCCCCACCCCCCCCCCCCAACCCCCCCACACCCCAAAAAACATGTATACCGTCCCCATTCAACGAAATATAATTATATACTTTTTCCATTGTCCGCCCCCTCCCCGAAAATTCTACCCCCGCCCCCGAAAATTTCAAGTACCCCCCACCCCTCTCCGGGGAGGAAAAAGTCTAAACTAAACCCCCCCCCACTCCCCCCACACACCCCCCCACCCCCCCTCACACACCCCCCACACACACCACCCCGCCACCCCCCCCCCCCCCCCCCAAAAAAAAAAACATGTCTACCGTCCCATTCAACGAAATATAATTATATACTTTTTCCAGTGTCCGCCCCCTCCCAGAAAATTCTACCCCCGCCCCCGAAAATTTCAAGTACCCCCCACCCCTCTCCGGGGAGGAAAAAGTCTAACTTAAAACCACCCCACCCCCCCCCCCCCCCACTCCCCTAAAAAAAACATGTATACCGTCCCATTCAACGAAATATAATTATATACTTTTTCCAGTGTCCGCCCCCTCCCCGAAAATTCTACCCCCGCCCCCGAAAATTTCAAGTACCCTCACCCCTCTCCGTGGAGGAAAATGTCTGAAAGAAACACTGGTGTCGCGCTTAGCCACTACCCGAAGAATTGCATTAAAGAAATTGCAAGAAAACCACTTTTGAGATTAGACACATTAATTAGGCGGTAATTTTATTATAGAGTATCGATGCAGAAATTTCTTTTGAGTTGGGGAGGGGGAGGGGGAGGGGCTCAGACGTTCTTACGCGGGGGGTGGGGCTTCGCCCCTACCCGAAGAATTGTATGCAAGAAACTCTTCACACAAACCACTTAGATTAGACAACATTTCCTCTTTATTCAATGTTAACGCGAAAATCAATGACGTCATATAACTGTGAGCACTCTCTGGGTTTGAGATTATTTTCTACTCTGTGCTAAATGTGTCGACGTCATACTTCGTTTTTCGAATTACTGTGCATGTTTTAAATTGCTTGTCTTTTCTCTAGAGCGTTCTTGTCAGACAGATAGATAGATAGATAGATAGAGAGACAGCGAAACTATTATTATAGACGAGAAAAATGGCCCGTTGAGGAAGGATACACCGGGCGCTAGGTTGATAGTGCTGTCTCTTTTCTCTAAACTAAAACCAACCCCCCCCCACACACACACCACCCCCCCCCCACCCCCCACCCCACACCCACCCTACACACCAGCCCCCCCCACCCCACCCACCGCCACCCACCCCCACCCCACCCCCACCCCCCAAAAAACATGTCTACCGTCCCATTCAACGAAATATAATTATATACTTTTTCCAGTGTCCGCCCCCTCCCCGAAAATTTTACCCCCGCCCCCGAAAATTTCAAGTACCCCCACCGCTCTCCGGGGAGGAAAAAGTCTGAAAGAAACACTGGTGTCGCGCTTAGCCACTACGCGAAGAATTGCATTAAAGAAATTGCGAGAAAACCACTTTTTAGATTAGACACATTAATTAGGCGGTAATTTTATTATAGAGTATCGATGAGGAAACCACCGCCCCCCCCCCCACCCCCCCCCCCCCACTCACACCTCCCCCCCCACTCCCCACCCCCCACCCCCCCCCCCCCCCCACTCCCAAAAAAAACATGTCTACCGTCCCATTCAACGAAATATAATTATATACTTTTTCCAGTGTCCGCCCCCCCTCCCCGAAAATTCTAACCCCGCCCTCGAAAATTTCAATTACCCCCACCCCTCTCCGGGGAGGAAAATGTCTGAAAGAAACACTGGTGTCGCGCTTAGCCACTACCCGAAGAATTGCATTAAAGAAATTGCAAGAAAACCACTTTTTAGATTAGACACATTAATTAGGCGGTAATTTTATTATAGAGTATCGATGCAGAAATTTCTTTTGAGTTGGGGAGGGGGAGGGGGAGGGGCTCAGACGTTCTTACGCGGGGGGTGGGGCTTCGCCCCTACCCGAAGAATTGTATGCAAGAAACTCTTCACGCAAACCATTAAGATTAGACAACATTTCCTTTTTATTCAATGTTAACGCGAAAATCAATGACGTCATATAACTGTGAGCACTCTCTGGGTTTGAGATTATTTTCTACTCTGTGCTAAATGTGTCGACGTCATACTTCGTTTTTCGAATTACTGTGCATGTTTTTAAATTGCTTGTCTTTTCTCTAGAGCGTTCTTGTCAGACAGATAGATAGATAGATAGATAGAGAGACAGCGAAACTATTATTATAGATAAAATAACAGGGAATGGGAACTCGGGCTATAGACATGATTTTTAATCCATTTTAAATACTTAAAGTTTTAAAAATAGAATAAAATCTCGTAGACAAATTAATTGCACACCAAGTGAACGCGAAATAAAAAAGCGCATAATAGTGCGCAATATTATTATTACTTTTAAAATTTACATTAGTTTTTTGAGAAATCGGAAGTAGCGTAAAGTACTACTTCCAGTCAACGGAAACGACTCAAAATTTAATACAAGGTAGAGAATTAGATCTTTTACTTACGTATGAAATTTCATTTATCTATCTGAAATAGTACTCAAGTTATAGGCTTTTGAAAAATTCAAAGTAGGAAAAGTACCACTTCCGGTTATCGGAAATAGCTCAAAAGTTGATACGGATCTACGATTTTGATTAAATACTTATATATGAAATTTCATCAACCTAGCTGTAACGGTACTCAAGTTATCGTGTTTACACACGGACACACACACACACACACACACAGACACACAGACATACGGACAAGATTGCAAAATTATGTTTTTCCGTATCAGTGAGATGCAAAACGTCGAGATTTGCAAAAATCTCGATTTTTTTTTTTTTTGCACGATTACAAGACTTTCTCTATACTTCGTATATACGAGAAAGTAAAAACCCGCAATTTTGAGGGGAATTGTGGGTTAAGTTATGACACAATTTAGTCACCTAGTATCCCGTATTATGGCAGTAATGTGTTTCAAAGGAATACAATAATAAAAAAACGTTAGCTAAAAGAAGAAAATCGATAGTTAGAAGAAGAACCGCTTCGCTTAACGCTTTAGACCAAACCTACCTAGCCCCGCTAACGCGCTCGAAAACGGCATGTTATAATACAGCCGACGGGCATCTGGCTCGTTGGTCTAGGGGTATGATTCTCGCTTAGGGTGCGAGAGGTCCCGGGTTCAAATCCCGGACGAGCCCTACATTTTTAAAAATTCCATCTATCATTAATCTATGCCTTATTACTGCAAAAA